ATTACCTTAAAGAGAAATTCAAACAGAAGAAAATGATGCAAAAGCAGCACCTCCCACAGTTAGACTCCTTATTCTATGTGACACACACACATGTATGTGTATGTGTGTGTTACATATATTTATTTTACGCGGCGGCGGCCTGTCTCAGCTGCCTGGTCGTTATGGGAGTAAGCGAATTCCCACAGAAGGTTAAGGAATGAGGTTAAGAAATCTGGTGTCAGCATAAATGTAAGAGCAAAAGAGGATACAGACTAAATAGTAAAGACTAAGACCCAGTTGTTATCTAGTTCTTTTAATTTTTTGGCAATCGTTTTAAAAATGTTTCTCTAGTTTTGCTCTACTTTCCAAGGGAAAGTCAGGTTAAGTTCTCTGTTAAAACAGAGAAGTTGAGAAGGTAAAGTCATTTTATTCATGACTCATTTCATCATCTCTCTCCTGGACTCCTGTCCCAGTCTCTGAGCGGGTCTCTCTGCCTGGGCCTGGGCCCCCCATTCTCAGCACAAGAGACAGAGTAATCTTAGTAAAATGCAACCCAGATCGTGTGCCACCTTGTTCAAAATCTTCCAGTACTTTCTGTCTGGTTCAGAGTAAAAGATGAAGGACTCCTGCTGGCACAGTGCCTGTCACCTCTGACCTGATTTTAAACCCTCCTCTTCCCACTGTAGGGCCTTTGTATTTGCGGTTCTCTCTGGAAATTCTGCAAATAACTTCACGGCTCGCTCTCTCTCTCTCTCTCTCTCATGTCCTTGAATCAAATGTCATCTTTTCAGTGAGATCTTCCTTGATTACATTTACAATTTAAAACTGTGAAGTGCCCCCTTCCCTGGCATTTCCTGATCACATTTCTTGCTCTGTTTTCCTCCAGAGTACTCATCACCACCTAATATACTATATATATTTTATGTATTATAGGTCTCTCCTACCTATCAGGGATCTTGTGTGTTTTGTTCACAGCAACATCCCCACTTCCTATCCACACAAATGGTGCTCAATAAATATTGTTGAATTAATAAATACACTGGACTTATTCTATAGAAATTAACTATAAGGATAAGTTAATTTAAAAAAACAACTAAAAAGACCTTGTAGGTAATTAGATTACAGTATGTTAAAACCAAGAGACTTAGCTTTTTAGCTTTATTCATTACCTAGATCATAGCTATAAGATAATCCATTTGAAAACAGTTTTCCCTTCAAAGGTACATATATGTAGATTTATACATAGATCTCTAATAACAACTGATCTTTTAAAAAATATAAACTGTATTGTTCTCAAGCACCATAGCTTTTTTTTTCTTAGGGCAAAATTTATTCAGTTAAGCAACAAAAGTAAGATATGAGAGTGAGGATTATTTTCAAAATTGCTTTCTTCAACGTATAAAGAACTGTAGAAATTGATAAGAAAATGACACATAACTCAACTATAAACTGGCAAAAGATATTAACTGTTCCCAGAAAAGGAAATGAAAGTGATCTTGAAACACAAAAAGATGCTCAACCTCATCATAAAAAGGAGCATGAAATTAAAAACTGTGTTGAGATTCCTTTTGTCACCTAACAGATTGGCAAAGTCTGAAAGTTTGGCTGTAGCCTGTGGAGTGGAGAAGCAACATTCTCATGTGTTTGCTGGTAACACAGCCAATGGGCGCCATCCCTTTGGACAATCTGACAGAGTGTTCAAAGTTATAATTGTATATATTTGTTGATTCTTTAATCCTACTTCTGGTAATTTATCCATCACATATACCTGCATACATGTGACATGTATATATGTGTACAGGGTTAGGATATTTATAATAGCAAAAGTCTGGAAACAACCCAAATGCCCATAAGGAGGGAATAGCTTAAATCCATACAATGGAAAACAATGCAGCTATAAGCCCCACTGGCCTCCTCTACAGAGTGATATGAGAAGACCCACAGGATGCATTAATGAGACAAGCAAGATCCAGAATTGTGTTTAATACTGGAAATATAAAGTATATATATTCATAATTTCCCACAATTACATAAAGGAAAGAAACATAAGAAACTAATAAAATGGGGGGGTGGGGGGGCAGTGGTTCTGAGGAAGTGGGAAGATGGCAGACAGGTTTGGGGAAGTTTTGCACCATGCTCCTTTTTCATATTGTTTGATATCTTGAATTGCTTAAATTTATTAGCTATTAAAAAATTAAGCAAAGTACGTATGATCTAGCAATCATACTCCTTGGTACTTGCCCAAAGGAGTTGGAAGCTGAGGTCCACACAAAAACCTGCCCACAAGTGTTTATAGCAACTTTATTCATAGCTGCCAAAACTTAAAACAATCAAGATGTCCCTCAGGAGGTGAATGGATAAACTGTAATATACCGTAATAGTGAAATATTTAGCATTAAGAAGAAAGCAGCTATCAAGCCATGAGGAAACATGAAGGCAACTTAAGTCCATATTACTAAGTGAAAGAAGTCAATCTGAAAAGGCAACACGCTGTAGGTTCCAACTTTATGACATTCTGGAAAAGGCAAAACCATGGAGACAATAAAAAAAAAGGGGGAGTTGCCAGGGGTTGGGTGGGGGAGAGAAGAATGACAGGCAGAGCACAGGAGATCTTTTAGGGCAGTGAAACTACTCTGTAGGACACTATAATGGTGCATACATGCCATTACGCATTTGTCCAAACCCAAAGAACATACACCACCAAGAGCGAACCCTCACGTATACGATGAACTATGGATGATGATGCTGCATCAATTTAGGTTCATGAAACTGTGACAGATGTATCACTGCAGTGGGAGATGTTGATAACGGGGAGGCTGTGCATGTGTTGGGGCAGGAGTATAGGAGAAATCTCTGTACCTTCTGCTCAGTTTTGCTATGAGGCTAAAACTGCTCTAAAAAAGGAACTCTATTAAACAAAACAAAACAAAGTATGTCCTTAAGGTTCAGATTCTCTTACTTTCCCTCAGACTTTCTAAGGCACCCTTTGGGGGTAGAATAAGGAGGTGCAGAGTGGGAGTGGGACAGGCAGACCCTAGCACTGCTGTTTTTCTCATTTGGGAATGAGTATCTTCTCCCCCTGGAGGATGAGGTTCAGGAGGTCCGAGGTGAGGACTCCCCTGATGATCTGATTAAGTGCTGCATGAAAGGACTCAGATTTGCTTCCTTTGCCTCAGTCTATTACCTTGTCTCCCCTTGGCACCTCTCAAGCTAACTCAAAAAACATTTATCATGTCTACTCTTACCTACAAGCCCCAAGCTTTGTCTGGAATATCTTTCTTGTTTGTCAGCACCCACGCCGTTCACCATCTAAACACATCATTCTTCTGGTCCCCTGTTACCTTCTATGTATTAAGTGTCTGTACTGGTACTTATACATAATAGTAAGTAACTTACACATACATGGCCTAATTTATATATGTCTATCCCGGAAAAGTCACATAAATAATATCTGTTTTAGTTCAGAGCAACAAATATTTATTGAACACCAAAATATGAACTATGCACAGTCCCTGATCTCATGAAGTTCCCCATCTATTAGCTTGACTTGCACTACATCAGAGGACTTTGCAGAACACATTTAATAAATGCTTTTGTATATTGTTGATGGAGATTAATTCTGTTCACACCAGAATAAACATATGACTCCATCTTTTCTGGCACAGAACCTTGGGAGGCCAAACGACTATCTTAATTACTCCTCTCTGCATCTAACTTTATTTATTCAAAATCTTCTCGTAGTCTCCTCTATTTTGTTTTCCTAGGACTGAAGATTTTAGATACTAACATGGGGAAGCTAACCTTTCGCAGCCCACATTTGGAACATCTACAAAGAGCTGTGTTCCCAGACTCCATTAGGAAAAGCTGGAGCAATTAGAGGGCGCTTCTTGCTTGGTTAAAAAAAAGAAAAAAAATCCATCTTAATTTGTTAAGTTTCTATAGTCTTTCAGAACATAGAAGTTACTTAAAAATTTCAGTAAAAGTACAAAGAGTCCTTGGGGCAAGCCAAGAGGACAAAAGAATTCTCACTCTCAGAAGAAAAATACTGAGAATAAAAATAGTTTCCCAACTCAGTCATTCTTTGGGATTGGTAATTTATTCCTGATGGTGCCCCAAAAGAGGGGAAGAGGAACAAGAGAATAAACTTGGCTCCCATAACAGAAATTATTCATAGCTCTTTTCCCTCATAAAATAATGGGCTATTAGATCTTCCATAAAATCCCTTTCAGTAATTTTATGGTGGGTCCACACTTTATAATCCATGTTTTGTAACAGAGTAAAAAAAAAACAACCACGAGAGATTTATTTTACAATAATTCATTCCATTGATTTTTATTAAATTTCCAATTCCAAACCTTTCATCTCTCCTATAAAAATTAAATTACCACATTTAAGATCCTTTTTCTAAGTGTAATTATTAAAACTGAAAGTTTCTTGATTGCCATCTACTGGCGAAGGAAAAAGTGACAACTTATTTTAAAAAGTCTGCATTTTCTCTCAGATTTCCCAGTTTAGAGGTTTTAATATTTTACATTAAAAAAGATGGCATGCTGTACGACAGACATGCAGGACATTTTATATGTTTAAACTCAAACTAATGGACTATATATATCACTAGCTTTAAAAAAAATCAAAATGTAAAGTTTTCATTTTTACAATGTAATACTTTTCCTAGTATTGTTTCAAAGAAGTCACACAGATAGACCATAGTATCCTAATTTAAATTTTGTTTTATAGACATGGATGCCAGTCTAACCGATGATGATACTAAGGTTACGTTATTAGCCAGTCAACTCAAATGAGATACATATGGTGAAAACCTCTCATAAGGAATGTCATTAATTCTATCTTTACAGACAAATACATTGTAAAAACAAAGGACAACTCCGCTAATAGGTAGAATATACAAGAGCAAGTAACCAGAATTTTTCAAGGTATAATACAGAAGCCTGAGGGGGAAAATGTATATATTCACTCTGTATATAGGAAGCACTTAGTCATTTGTAATTAATGAAACATACCTGGCTTAAAATGTGGTAAAGAATGAACTCCAGGCCACGTGTCCTCATTTGGCGTTCCAAGAACCTAGTGGAGAGCAGGAAATTGTGGAAACAGACTTATTATTTCCAAAGCACTCAAAATTCTCCAGTGTAGAAAACAGTACACTGCATATGATGAAACTCTGGATTTTTTTTTCCATGATCGTGTGCCAGGGATTTTATTTCAGCAAAAACAAACCCCAAACTAAAAGCTAAAGAGCCACCCAAGATGAATGTCTGAGTTTTAACACATGCAGCTGAATGCAGGCAGTGAAATCTGCTGCATTTTGTCAACTCCAAACTTAATAAGTAGGCTTAGGATGCCAGCGATAAGCTGTCATTTCCATGGAACTGAATCAAGCATGTGTGTGTCCCTCATGATTCTTGCATGAGCTTTTGTCCTTTACTCCAGCATCAGATGTCTCATCATTTAGCAGTTCTATGCATTCTGTCATTTCGTCCCCCGCATCCTCTGTCTGAGCATCACGATGTTTCAAAGAAGCAGGACAAGCAGCTTGGGATGCTCATTCTCGATGACCCACACCACTCATTTCAGATAACATCTTTATGTGGCTTAGAATTTCCCCATCCCCCCCCCATATTGTCCTCCCTCTACACTCTTTCCTTTCTTCATCCACATTTTCACCTTCTTTCCCCATTTCTTTTTTTACCACCACGATGTTTGATCTGGTTGAAGGAATTAAGGGGCAATTGCAGCTCATATAGAACTGGGTTCGCCCCATGCGAACACCCAGGTCCACCACAGGTTGCTGTTACAGTCTGTGGTCATGGTAACTCACCAGTCGAGAACAGTGGAGCTGGAGAGTTAAGAGCCCAGACCCTGGAAACAGACCCCGTGGGTTCAAATCCTTGCTCCCCTACTTACTAGTCATGTGACCATGGGCAAGAAATAACCTCACTGAGGTTCCTCATTGAACTGAGCTTTCAATTCCCTCCTTTGTAAACTGGGGGTGATAACAGCACCCCCCTCTCCCTTGTGGTGAAAACTACCTGGCAGGAGTAAGCACTATGTATTAGATATTATTCAAAATGCCCCTAGAAAACAGGCTCAGGTCAGGGTGGCACTGGCCACATGGGAGAGTCTGGTGCCCCATGCCGTGCATAACTCAAACTGTGATGGACCGACACGCACAGTGCAACAGGTGAGAAAGGGCAAGAGATAAAGCCAGAAGCTGGGAAAAGAGGAGGAATGGCAGGTATCACGGGAGGAAATTAAGCAAATTCACTTTATCCGAGCATTAGTAGGCAATGCTGTCCAATAAGGAAATGCAGAGCTTTGATGATTTGTGCGTTTATTTACTAGGGGGACGGGGCCCTCATATCAGAGGGGCAAACACGCAGTGAGTGTCTCCCTCATGGCTTCCTACTCTGGTGAGTCGGGATTAACTACATGTATGAGGTTCCCCACTGGGTTCTGGGATGAGATAATACAATTCTTTTCAAGTGTCACCGATTAATTTTGCAAACACAATCAACAGTAACAGTAATAGGCACATCTACACAAGGAAGGCAACCCTATGGATGGGCTGGGTGGGAGGTGGGCAGACAGGGAGAGGGCTGGGGAAGGGGGTTGTAAGACAGGAAAGGAGACGGAGACACTGTCTGGCACGAGTTACTGCGGTGTCTGCAAAAGGCATTTCCCCCTTCTTTTCACTAATTCCGATGATTATTTTAAGGCAGGGAGACAACCAGGCTCGTGAGCAGCGCACATAGCTCATTGGAGGAATGCTCCCCTTTGAGCTTCCACTAAAATCTGCATGAAGGATGGGAAGGACTTGAGCAACTAAAGGGAGAAACTTTCGGCTCAAAATCACGACCTGATCACAGTCAATCCATCACATATGACACAGACCCTCTGAAGGTTTTATAAACCACAGAAAGTCCAGCCGGAACTTGAACCTTGTTCTCTCACTCCTAGTAAAGGTACGGCTGTGACCCTGAGGGTATACACGTCTCTACAATGTTTGTGTTAGCAAAATGCAAAGAAATGCGTAAGTAGAATGCATAGAAAATGCGTAAGTCCTGTTCTGAGTTATTGTAACGCCGACTGATGAGACTCCACACCTCAGATTGTCCTGCCTACAACTCCTGGGCCATTTGCACAAGAAATACAATGTGGGTAGAAAGTGGGCAAAGGAAAAGAAGTATTAAAAATCAGCCTTTGTTCCTGTGAAGGCCTTTTTGGGAAGGCAATCTGGGTTAAATGCGTGGTTAGAGATGACAGGCTATGTGTGCCCAGCAGAAAGCTGGGTGTAAGTTGTCTCTAACAGATTTTCATTTCTATTAATTGACTAAGACACTCCACAACCAGGACATGTATAGGTTAGAAAAAGAGGTATTCCCTAAAAGTAAAAACTAATCTTTTGCAAATAAAACAGGGCAGAAGAAAACAGCACCACCGACCTTTCACCTTTCGAAGGTGGTCCTGCGTCTGTAAATAGGCAGGTTGGTAACATCTGAGGAGGCTTTCAGTCTTAAAGTGACAGACATGCTATGATACGTTAAAACGTCTTCTACAAGGTCACTCAAGAAGCTTCACCTGACACCTGTGCCCGTGGCTGGTACGTCTCTGTTCCTTTATTGGGCCACATCTTCACTGGGCTAACATTTATTGTGTTCATCACAGAAGATGGAAGGATGAGCTGCCTGGAGGTGCTCCCACTCTGAGGCAGATGGGGGGGCAGCGATGGGCTGCCTTCAACACAAGTGCTTCCTCAGAAGTGTGGGGAGAAGGAGCTGAGAGCCCAAGCTGGGGGTGTGCCTGAGGTTCCCTGGGGCCGGGGAGAACAGCTGCATGGCAGAGGGAACACTGAGTAATAGCTGGCCAAGTACAGAAAAGGGGCGTGGGGGTGGGGGTGGGGGTGGGTAGCGACAGCAGAGAACACTGGTTATAAGGAAGGGCTATATCAAAATACTTTCAGTTCTCCAAATTCTCCTGCTGCTCATGCCCCCATACCTTCTCACAGTGGTTTCCTCTTCTGGAATGCCCTGCCCACGACTGGCCAGGTTAACTCCTACTTTTTTTCTAGCTTCAACTCCTGAAAGACTTTCTGGTCCAAGTTACACGCTGTGATCCTCATAATCTCTGAGGGCTTTGTACAGGATTCCTACAGGACTGACGCATGGCCTTACAATTGTTAGATTACTGGTCTGTCTCTGCACTGCACCGTAGACCTCCGAGTGGAGACTGTGGTGTTCATATCTTTAGATCCCTAGTGCCTACACCAAATAAACCTGACACCAAATATGCACTCAGTACATGTTGACTGAATGAGTGAATGCCGTGTCTGGGTTACAGCGTGAAGTTTAGTGTCACTGGATTGTTGGCTGGGTTATGGAAGGGGAGGCTAGGGCCAGGGAACGAATAAATGGGGACTGCATTTTATCTCTCTCAGGTTTTCTCAGACTACAGGTCACATGACCCCCTGGGAGATTGTAAATTTCACATAGAGTGCTCATATCAGCATTTTTCTAAAGATGAGTAGAACAGGTAATATCAGAAGGTAATATACATGTTAAAGATACATATTGTTTCATGAAACTTATATTCACATTACATCTGTGTGAGTATATGTATATGAGTGCTTTATGAGTCATGATGTATTTCTTGGGGCGCCTGGGTGGCTCAGTCGTTAAGCGTCTGCCTTCGGCTCAGGTCATGATCTCAGGGTCCTGGGATGGAGTCTTGCATCGGGCTCCTTGCTCAGCAGGGAGTCTGCTTCTCCCTCTGCCCCTCCCCCTGCTTGTGCTCTCTCTCTCAAATAAATAAAATCTTTAAAAAAACAAAATGTATTTCTTACCATTTAAGAGCCATTTTATAGGCAATAAGAAGTTATTAGCTAAAAATCACGAACGTAGGTGATAAAGCAAATTTGGGGGCTGAGGGCAATGAGTTTAATCCTAGATCTACTGAACAGGAGAAAAGCCTGCAGATCAAGATGGGGGGGTGGGGTGTAAAGAGCAGCTGGAAATACCGATACAGATCTCAGGAGAGGGATTAAAGTCCAGAAAAACATCTGGAACTCTTTAGCATATTTATGGTAATAGAAAGCAAATGCCAAGACACAAGCTACAAAATGGTCTCACTTCCCTATACTCATGCATACACAGTTCCCAGAAGGGTGTCTGTGACTTCCTGGACTTTTAGCATCTGTTAAGAAAAACAAGGGATGATCTCACCTTCTCAGTAGAGGTTTACATTGCCTGACCCTGATGAACTAGGATTCAAGGACCCCAGACTTACTCTTCTGGGCTTACCTCCGCACTGACAGGTAATGATCCCACCTACCGTGTCAGCCTCTGATGAGCAGAGGATGACACTCAGAAAAAGAGGGTCTCTCTGCTGAAACATCTACTTTACCACAGACAGACGAAGAGCAGATTCTAAACTTCTAAAGCTCAGAGCTCAAGAACTAGCGCTTGTCAGAAATATTTACTTACCTTTTCAAATTACTAACAGTTGCACGAGTTCTCACATTTCCCCGTCAGGTCCCAGGGCTGCTAAAAATGAGTCCGTAGGCTTTTCCTGAAGAATGCCCACAGTTTAAACAGAACAAGGGCTGCTAATAGTTTTCCTGGGTCAAAGGGTCAGAGGAGTCTCTCACAGAGACTCTGGCGCAGAGAAACTCGGGCCTATCAAATGCAGATAAAACTGGCTCACACGGGTATGTACTAAAGCAGTGATGTGCAACGTGCTGGGTTCCCACTTTAGGTTTTTCGGGTTTATGAGGTGGGCATTCTGGGGCAGTGCTGGCTGATTTCAAACTGACTTAGCAACGAATGCAAGGAAATGGAGAACAACCAGATAACTCTGATGATCTTTACACCAAAACTCTGAAAGTCCACACATACAACATACATCTTTAAAATTCTAATTGCTTCACCACTGTACTACTTTGGGTTCTGGAGGATTCTTTATGATTCCTCAGGGAGAAGTCCTAAATGCAGCCTGTGAAGAAGCTCGGCAGAACTAGGCTTGGCTGTCACACATTGCACTCTGGAACAGGTGCTATAGAGTTCAAAGAT